GCTGCTGCTGCTGGACTTTCTCTTGCTGCTCCTGCAACTCCTCTCCCGCTGCTACTACTGCATTCATGCTGCCTCTCCTGCTGCTGCTCCTACTCCTGCTGCTGCTGCTGCTGCTGCTGCTGCTGCTGCTGCAGGGCAGCTTGGTGGTGCTAGGGGGCCGCTGCTTGGAGGGGGGGCTCAGCGACTCTGTCTTTTGCTTCCCCGTCGGCCGCGCGGACCCCCCGCGACGCAAGACAAACATTCCTTTGCTGCCGAGGAGATAGCTTGCTGCTGCTGCTGCTGCTGCTGCTTCTGCTGCTGCTGCTGCTGCTGCGGGTGCTGCGGGTGTTGGGGGCAGTGAGGTCCTCATCGCAGGGGCTGGCTGCAGCAGAAAGGGCAGCGGCATCCGAGGCTTAGCTAGCTGGATAGCTAGCTACCTGGAGGCAGCAGCGACAGCGACAGCTAGCTAGATAGACAGTTACCCAGCTAGCTAGCTAGCTAGCCAGCTAGCTAGCTACGTTGTTATACCTCAGCACGGTAGCGGGAGGTTTGGTGGGACACCAGCCCGCCCCCAGCAGGCTGGTTGGCTAGCTAGCTAGCTAGCTAGCTAGCTGTTCAGCTAGGTAACTAGCTTTTTAGTTAGATAGCTGGCTAGCTAGCTAGCTAGCTCTTTGGCTAGCTACTTAGCCAGCCGTTTGGCTAGTTAGGTAGCTAGCTGTTTACCTAGCTAGCTAGCTGGCAGTGTGGCCGGCTAGCTAGCTAGGTGTCCAGCTAGCTAGCTAGCTAGCTGTTTAGCTAGCTAGCTAGCTATCTGTTTGGCTAGCTAGATAGATGTCTAGACAGGTAACACCGCATCTTGATACGACTAGCTGCCTTTTTTGGCTGAGGTGGAAAACTACCCACTGAGCTGGGTGGCTAGCTAGCTAGTTGGCTAGCTAGCTAGCTAGCTAGCTAGCTGGCGAGTTTGCTAGCTAGTTAGCTAGCTAGCTAGTTGGCGAGTTGGCTAGTTGGCTTGCTAGATAGCTAGCTGGCG